GCATGCGCATAAATGTGTGAGTGAGTGTGTGGCTGTGCGAGCTTTTATGAGTGGAGGTGAGCTCGTGTTTGCTCTGACCAAAAAACGTGCGACGCCTGTCAAATGCGCATCGGAGACAGCATTGGGGCTTGCCCCGGACATGGCCTAATGTGGAAATGGACGGAACCGAAGCACGGGTCAATGAGTACGTGGGCGTGTGCGTTGGCGGAGCCCCAATGGGCTTTGATTGAGAGCGTGCACAAATATTAAATATGTCTGCACAAAAAGAACACAAAATCGACAACAAGCGCAAAACAAATACGCAACAGCGGAATCAAAATTTTATCAAAAATATGGCAAAAGCGACCCAAAAGCAAAATTAATAACGAGACGAAGAACATATTAAAAATAATATTGAATACACTTTATATGGAAAATTAAAATTGGGAGGGAAAAAAACTTGTTTCAATTAAAATTCGAATAGCTTTTGCGACACTTGCAAAACGTTTAATGGGAATTGGACTCTAAAAAAAGACTCAACAAATTTCATTTACACAATTTAAGTATTTCAATTTCAATTCAAACCAAGAGCAAAATTCATTAATGATATATAAAAGAATGTACTTGGGAAATTAAAAAGTCAAAAGTTCGGTTTTTTATGGCCGTGTCTCTTTCTCTGTTTTGTGCGAATCATTTCATATTATAGACTTTTATGTCATAAAAGCACGAGACATTAAAAAAAAGAACAAAAAACAATAACATTGTTATAATTAATATTTAAGCAATAAAAACGAGAGTGTAGCGATCCTTATTGATGTCTGGCAAATTGACGCGAACTATCTATTATTTAAATAAAGACAGAAAGACAAGATATGTTGATCAAGAATATAATTAAGAGTATTTTAAATACAATTAAATGTGTCAAAATTTAATTTTATGAAATAACAAATAAAAATGAATTGAATGAAATGTTAAATGCTTCTAAGAAAAACTAACATTTTCAATTCATTTAACATATTAAGCTTATCTCTGGAATACCCGAAACTCCAAGTCAACAGCCAACAGACAACAAACTTCTTTCTGGCACTTAATGAACTTAACTAAGTGGGCGGTCAGAAAAATAAGGGAGCGGCAAGGATTTTCTGGTTTTTGCCTTTGTTTTAAGCTTTCTGCATGGATTGTCGATTCTCTGTTTTTTTATTTTTATTTTTGTTGAGTTGTTTCGATTTATGTATTTAGCGCATTTGCCTCCGAGCAAAACATAATGGGGAGTAAATTTACCACTGCACTTTGCAGCATAATTTGAGCTTAAGCAACCAAAAGGAACAGCAGCAGCAACAACAATAATAATAAAAGGTCATAAAATGTTGCCAGGAGCTGCAAACAAAGAAAAGAAGTGCCACAAACAAAATCACAGTGCAAACTCAAATAAAAGTTTTTCGGAAGGGCCCACTAAGAAATTTGCAGTGAAACCCAAAAAGAATTTTGCTTTCACGTCAATAAACTAAGGCCAAGCCAAAAGCCCTGAACCCAGACGGCAGCTCCAAAGGTGATTCAAGGCACCAACGAGCTGCGTCGAGACTGCGCTCTATAAATACAAGCTGTACGATTAGTACATGGAGCAGCTGCCATGACTGCGGGCTCCTCTCGGGCAACATTGAGCCGACCCAAAAGCTGTATGCCTGCATGCCTGGCATCTGCTCACCTGTTGTACAAAATGAATGCCTAATGACTTTATGGCATAGCGCAGGCAACACCATTATGATAGCAATGCGAGCTGCATAGTTCTTAAGTGGCCGGAATCCTCAAATTCTTGGCGCTTGCCACCGAACATTAACAACTTTCAATTTTCCAACCTAAGAACTCTTACTTTCCCAACGCCCTCTTCTCAGCACGTGCGTAATTTAATATCCATTTGCGGAATACAAGGCTCGTGGGCTCCTTGACCTCCCTGCAAAATGAAGCATTTGCGATTATGTTTATAATCCGACTGTAAACAGGTGCTGTTGTGGGATTTGGTGGGTGTGTATTTGTGTGTGTGTGTGTGTGTGTGTGTGTGTATGGGTGGGTGTGTGGGTGTGTTGATGGAGCAGCTCTAGTGCAGTCATATTACGCATCTCGCTGGATGCGAAATTAAAGTTCGTCTTGCTGTCAATTTATAGCCAAAATAAAGCTGAATACGGTAGGCCTGAAGCGTTATGGTTAAGGCAGCGACTCCTTAGCTTCGATAGTCGATATTCCCTAGTCGATACTTGCTGCAACGCGATATATTGTCACCTGAGCTCCAAATGTCAGCCTTTCCAGAAATCAATATCAGTTTAACTTCAATTTGCAGTCAGCGGGTTATTAACTACATCATAGCCTCAGTAACTTCAGCTCGTACTCATCGATTGCTCAACTTTAATGGCGAGGTTTTCTTTATGATTTTACAACGTTTTTACTCGGCCATTTATTTTGCTAAATGAAAAACGCTTAGCGATTAAATATCCTATACCAACTTTTATCTTTTTGAACAGCTTAAAATATTCAGCGAAAACTAATTGAATGGAATATTTATATATACTCTAAATTATACAGAAATTGTTCTTAACATGGTTGCAAACTTTCTTTTTTCTGGAATTAACATTTTATTTTGACCATAAGCCCAAAAAAAATAGAGGTTTATATATTTTTTGGTTTAAAATTAAAACGGGCAATCAGTATAACAAATTTGATTATTTTATAAATATATATCACAAGTCTTGGCTTAAAACAAAATCTGGGTTCAGGCACGAGCCAAACCTAAAGGTAGGTAGCTGCTGGGAGCCATAAGACTATTTTTTCATCTGCAGCCCATCTTGATGATTTCTTACTTATATATTTTTAACTGTGGTTACAGCGTGTCTAAAAGTCTAGCATTCTGCTTTGCAGTCAGCCTTATTCCCAATTAATTATGCTACTCATCTACCTAAAATTTCCCCCGTTTCTAGAAATGAATTATTTTTTTTTGTTTACAATTTATTTCATAGCTCTACGAAATGTATGTTTATCGTTTGATCTCTATTGGCTGATGATGCCATTAAGTGATGTGAAATTAATTTAACGCTGACTTTATTTGCATTAGCATTAAATAAAGGCCATTCTTACGGCTATGCTCGATAATTAGATACCCTTGAGAAAATATTAAAGCTAGATTTTATTCTATTAATTATGCCAGATTTGGCTTATGAAAAGCTCACAAAGCTGGCTCTTAAACTACATGTGAGCAAAACATGTTCCAAGAGATTGTTCTGAATTAAGGTAATTCAAATATATATTATTCTTTTTGCGCATATTTTCTATAATCCACATCGAGTGTTGTATTGATGGAAATTGAGCCACTGGGCAAAACAATAACAATAATGGCAAGAAATGGCCCCAGCAGCGGTAAGAGAGCAACAAATGCAAATACAATAGTTAAAATTAATTAAAACACAAAGTAAATAAACAAATGAAGTTCGCGTTGGCCGGACAACCAAGTGGGCTAAGTTGGCAAAGCTATGAGCTGGAATTTGGCCGGATTCGGCCAAGTTTAATTAATGCAACGGCATTATTCATGTGCCCGGACAAGCTTTGCCTTTTTAGGCCCTTCCAAAAGTTTAATTGAATTAGTCACTTTTCCGAAAGAAAGATGTAACAGAACAGCACAGAACAGCACCAAACAAAAAAAAAAACAAAACAATAAACAGAAACTTTTGCCTAAATGTCCGAAATAACTTGAGTGACTCTTCGAAAAGCAAAAAAGGACAGCAAATATTCTGGCTGGCTGAAGATGATGTGCAAAGTGTTCAGCCTCACATTTTGTGGTTTAAAGTTGCCACTTGATTTATGAACCCAAAAAAAAATTATATAAAAAAGACCATGAGGCAGACGGCAGAGGGAAGAGGAAAGCGGCGGACAGCCGCCCAAAAGGTGTCAGCGGGCAAACAAAGCAAAACGGCGGTTAAATAATGAGCAAAAGGTGTAAACAAGTGGAAACCGTCTCCGGTACGCTAATTAACTTGACAAATGTGCTGTCCTTCTCTTCGCCAGCCAGTGATTATAATAATGTTGTTGCGCGACAAGCTCTCCGAAGGAGGATTCTGCGCCGACTCCGACATCGACCTCGACATCGACGTCGGGACACGCTCCATTGCGGTAATGCATGCAAGTTTTGTCAGCTCACTTAGTTATGTAAATTCCTGCAGATTGTCAAACATGGCGGCAATTAATAATTTAATTAATTTTGAAAATATCCCTACCAGCAGCCAGATCCACAGAATCAAATCGATTCAATTAGAGTTCTTGAAGCAAGTCTGTGTGAGTTCCTGGTTACCTGATCGATGTTCGGTGCAGGGTATCTGCTCGTCGCACTCTGGCCTGTTTTCTCATATATGTTACTTTTTTTGAATGAATAAGAACCTGATCCGTGTAAGAACCTAATTACTTTATTTTTAATCTCCTTCATTTGGAAATCTCTGAAATCTACCCGAAACGCGGATTTATAGGTTTGCTTAAAGTTAATAAAAATGGGAAAAAGCTTGGCTTACACATGTTGCATATTTCTGAATTATATTTTAAATAGGTTTACCGATAATTTTAATATCTTAAGATATTAATTTTCGATAATTTGTAGCCTGTCTCCTAGAAATCCCAAAGCCAATGCCTAGAGCATGCAAACTGCTCAATCTTTGCCTGATAATACCATCGCATTACTTAGATCGATTTTAATAAGCATAGCAAATATTTGTTTTACATTTAAATTTTAATTGAGCTGAAAACAAAGTCAAGAGTCTCTTTCGGCCACTCGCATTAGCAAATTGGTGAGTAGGGGCTATGAATGGCAGCAGCAGCAACAAGTCCTCTGGCAACATGTTGCCAAAGAGTGGGCATGTTGTTAATCGATGTTGCTGACTGTGGTGAGTTTTGCATTTGTTGCCACAACTGATGGTCCAAACAGCACTCGAGGAACTGTTGCCGGATCCAAGCATTCAGTGCACGACGGAGTCTACGAGGCGGCGGCACACGGCACGGCTACCCGCTGATTAACCAGTTAGTGGGTTGTTAGCAACTGCTTTGGCTCCAATCACATACACATTTTTTTTTCGAGTTACCGCGAGTGCCAGTGCCGCTGATAGTGCATTTAAAGACAGCCTCACGATTAGCGCCATTTACTATTACCGTCAGCTGCTGTCTGCGCTCGCGCCGCTGGCCACGAATGCTGCGCTGCAGCTCAATGCCAGCTATGCCGTTGAGGAGATCTACGGCAGCGGAAGCGGCAGCGGCAGTGGCGATGGGCTTAACGGTAGTGATCTCTACATTTATAGCAATGAGCTGGATCCGGAGCCGACACCAGCATCACCGGCGCGATCGATGTCCGGATCGCTGGCATCGGAGGCAACAATGACATCGGCTACTGCATCCGCTACGGTAATGCCCACGCCCTTGGTGCCGTCTAACCGTAGCATGTCGCGGGTGATCGCTGATGTGCCCATCTGGGTGATACCCTGCTACAGCATTATTCTGCTTTGCGCCGTCGTGGGAAATCTGCTGGTGGTGCTCACCCTGGTGCAGAATCGCCGCATGCGCACCATTACCAATGTTTTTCTGCTCAATCTGGCCATCTCAGACATATTGCTGGGCGTGCTCTGCATGCCCGTGACCCTGGTCGGAACGCTGCTGCGCAACTTTATCTTTGGTGAATCCCTCTGCAAGCTCATCCAGTTCGCTCAAGGTAAGTCGGCTGTCCCGAGTTCGCTTAAAGTTCCACTACATTCCGAAGTATTTCGACACTTTAACTTTAACCGTTGCCCTGCAAGTGTCCCGTGTGGCCGCAGTCATTATGTGCGTCTGTCCGTTTTTATGAATTAATATACTGCATACATACAAACATGCATACACATGCATACATATATATGCACGCATGCACACATTATTATGCCAGTCGAGTGCGAAAATAAAGCGTGGGCAGCTATTTGAATTCTAAAGCGGAATGCAATGGAAATGAAACTGAAACTGGAACAGGAACTGATTTTGGAACTGAAACGAATAAGTATACGTGGGAAGCTTTCTGAAAACTGGCTGCATTCTCAGAGTTTTCAGATGCCCTACATAGAGCAGCCTCTTAAATAGAGGGTGTGCGTGCGCTCGTTTGCGTGTATGCGTGTGTGTGTATGTGCGTGTGTGCCGTGTTTTTGCGACTGGCTATCCCCAATGCTAGTGGCCTCAATGCAACAAGGCTTTAAATGAAGACCCCAAATGTGCTGGGTTAAAATATTTGCTACTTAATGAAATGGGTTAACGTCCAGCTTATCTCAATGCGCACAGGTGACACATTTGGCGAAGCGTTTCTGTGAAATGAACTGTCTAATCAACTAATAACATGACAAACGCATCCAAACATGTACATACCAGCACACACACACACACATTCGTAAATCTGGGCTCTTAAGTAATTTGATGTGGGTGTCGTATTCAAAATATGATAAGCCAAAGGTGTTTGTGCATAGATAATGTAGAAAAGTGAAATTATATACCGAAAACCATCTTATAATATCATGAAAATAAAATGAACTTTTATACGTATATATAAATACACTTCTTTAAAGGGTTAAAGGTAATTACAAAATACTTCCATCTAGAGAATTTAATGCGACTATGACCTTTTATTATTTAACATATCTTTGTATGTATTTAAGCTTTTAAGTTGTTTTAGCTAAAGTTAAAATTAAACTTTAAATATTTAAAAAATTTTGGCAAGCTTACTTATTAGCTATTTCTAGAACAACCAAATTCTACATATTTCACTAGTTAATAAAATGAAATTACTTTTGTATTTATTACCAAATATACTTTATGTATTATACATGTTAATGTTGTTCTTTATCGGTGAAGAGCTTGCCGAGTAATTTTCAAAAGGGCTTAAAAAAATACAAAATTTTTAAAAATTTTAAAAAATACTCACTCAAAAGCCACTTTCTTTCCAGCAAGGGTCAATAACTCAGTCGGGTATCACCCTGTCTGTGCTGTTAACGAGAGTCACATACATTAATAATCTATCTATGTGAATTTGCACAAATGTTTATTTGAAATCGTTGACATGCATCCATTAAAATAAGCACATAACCAATTTGCTTTAAACGACTGACTGCAGAGACTATTTATGAATCTAGCATGTCAGTTTTATGCCATTTGATTTCATTTTTATGGCCAGTCTTTTATAGACAATACTTCCTATTACTTATGCATAATGATGTTCCACATAAGAGCTTGCGAGCAACGCATTTATAATTTAAAGTAAGTGCCATTTGGCGCGCCGTAAAGTATGCCACCGCACATAAGCGCCCATTACCGATTCCGTATACCCTTTTGATACCTAGCAGCACTTCAAATGCGCAGCAAATGGTTACGATAAAGTTGTGCAATTGTATGTGCAAGACAGAAAACGACAAGTTCGATCTGATTAACTCGCTATATTCCCAGTCAGAATGACGATTTGGTATAGATGCATGTTGTATCAAGTTTATATGATGTTTATTTCAGGCTTAACACAAATGAAAATCGATTTCTAACATACGCATTTATGTGAGTCTTATATTACACAAAGCTCAGCTCTCTGCTGAGTAGTAGATGGAATGGATGAAATGTATTTCAATTATTTTACCCACATACGGTATTTGCTAGAAAAAATAACAAGCTTTTTTGATCTGCTTAAGCAATCCCTTTATCGGGTTGTCTGTCTTCAAGAATTATTCCAAACGAAACTTACTTTTGCATGCACGTGTGAGGCCAGCTTCCAGGGTATTTTTTCGGCAGAGCGTTCTCGCCTTTGGCATTTTTAGTTGTTTATTATACAAGTCATAAGAAGCTAAAGAGTCATCGACCCAGCAGACGAGCGCTGGCGAGTCACCACTCGAAAGTTGTAACAATGGCCGCACCAAAGGTTCAAAAATTTAAATATGCATAGACACACACACACTCACCGATTTGGGGCGGAAATTACCGGTTATGGAGCGCCATTCACTTGTGTAGTTATAAGTCGTTCCATAAAGCAAGAACTGAAGCAAGAAGCAAACCGATTTTCAGACCAAAATTGACTCGAGAGCAAATGGGTTGCCAACATTGTGCTCGGAGCCCTTTTGTGATTTCGTTGAATTCCCTCAAAAATTAAATAGCTGTGACCCAGCAAATGTCGATGATCGGTTTTGGTTACCTAGCCGTACAGCACCGACCCCGCCAGCACAGAACCAGGCCCAGTCACATGGCTGAGACGGTTGCCAATTTGCTGCCTGTTAACAGCAGCTTAGAGAATTTGTTCTGGCACCTGTCACAAATGCTTATCAATTGATAAACTTGATTTACTTAGCTGCAAGCGCTTTCAGCACCACCGACACCAGGCAAGGGTTGGCGCACCACTCGAAAAGTTGAACTACAATGTTAGTTTAGCTCCTGCATGGGCATAAAGTTTTATAAACAAAGGCCAAACAAATTATGTATTAATGTAGGTGCTCTCGACGCTCTCTAGCTGGCAACATAGTGAATACATAAATTTAGAATTTATATATATATATACATATATATGCTGGGAGCATAAATTCAAGTGCTTCAAAGCACACGCACACAAGTATACACGCATACACATTCAAATAGAGATAAATATACAGATACAGCTGCTGAGCCGAGTGGCTGAAGCTTCTGGCCAGGACCTGCATCTGTGCCTAAGCCAAGGCAAATGCCAAGCCCGTAACAATACCTCTCAGATAATACAAGGCAAATCCTTATTTTCAATGCGAATTAGGCAAGTCTTAGCATAACGTGAGTGCTGCCAGATTGCGAAAATGTGAAAATGTGTATATGTGAAAATGTGAAACTCTGCGAATGTGCAAATGTCTCTCTGAGCAGCTGAAGTGTGTGCCTGTCTGTCTGTGTGAGTGTGTGTGCTTTAAAAATACTTTAGCATTGCTCCAACGATTCGACTATGTGTGTCTGCCTCAATTGTTGCACGGTGGGTACACATACATAAATAAATGTGCGCATCTATATGCAAATTGTCTCATCAAAGTCGCTGAGCTAGAAGAATAAGAATGTTATAAATGCCAACTAGAAACAATAGTGAATAAGCGCAGCAGCTAGAGGCAGACTTGAAATTGGACTTGCATATATTTTGAAATAAAAAGTAAAAAACAAACACATTGTGAATAAATTAAGCACACAAGTCATGGGCTTCTGTCGCTGCTGCAGCTAGCTTTGACTCCAAAAGACAAACTATAATATGTACTTTTAATTCTCTGCTGTGAATGTCACACAACTAGTTTGATAGTTTGATAGTTCAAGGCATTCATAGTTTTAGGTATTTAGGTATTTCCCTTTGCAGTTTTTCTCTTTGATTTATACAAAGCTTACGCTCCACTATGCGCGAACTGTAGAGCGTTGCAAATGCTGTTGGATTTGGCGTCCTGTTATTTTTTGTTGGCATCTGCAGTTTTATGACTTGTTTCCTTTTCCGTTTCTGGGTCCGGGTCCGGGTCATCTGGGTCTGTGGCTGGGGCTATGGCTGCCGATGATGATGTTTATAATATTGTTTACTTAGTTCAAGCTTGTATTCAGCTGACTGGCTGACGAAATTGTCGCTACGTGCATATTTATTTCAGACATCCATTTTTTCAGCTCGACACTCACATGAGCAACTTATTAAGAACATAATGTGCAGTGTCGAGCATAACACGTGCCAACCGACCAACCCCAAACAGACATCTGGCAAAAGTGTCACACATGGGGATGCCGCCATATGGCAGTTTGCTGGCCAAACTCGCCTTCTGTCAGCTCGGCACCGACTTGGAGCACATCTGTTGCACGGGATCCACTTGCACTGGCTCGTAAATTTATAAATGTCAACGTTGCTCGCTGTACGGCCTGTCACACCGATTTATGGCCATCATTATGTCAAGGTGCACTCGCTGCACTAGTCAGACGAAGTCGCATCGAGACCCAGAAACCAAGTTCATGCTCAAGCCGATGCCCTAGCCAAAGGCTCTGCTGCCCGCCTGCCTGTTGCCTGATTTATATGCGCCAGCCTGGGAATCCGGTTATTGCCATCGTCGACTGCCAAATTCAATTTGTTTGCCAATCTTTAATTCTTCTTGGCAAAGCTCCAGCCTCGCGTCCGAATCAAATCTTTAATTCGAGGGATTTTCACGCCTGTCAGCCACTAAGTGCAAACATCTGCCCCAAACTGTATGCTACACTTTTTTAAACTAAATAATCGAAAATCTCAGAGCCTATATACGCAGTATATATATATATATACCCTCCTATATATATATATATATATATATATATATATATATATACTATATAATCAAGAGAGCGCCAGCTATTCGTTATGGTTTAAGTGTATAGAATACAAACAATGCCAGACGATGCCCCGCCGTGCTCGTCGGCAAAACTCCGCGGTCTTATTCACAGCTCTGACAGCGAGCAAATTAATAATTAATTGGACTTTTATATCTTCTCCTATATTTATACTATTTTTATTTACCCTGAGTTGCTGTTGCTGCAACACGTCAAAGGCCATTAATAACGCGTTAATAGCGCAAAATGTCGAAAAATGGCGAAAAATGGCGAAAAATTGCGGTAAATTATGTGAAATGGAAAAAATTGAGAAACGTTTGTGCAACAAACAAAATATTATTTTAAACAACATATTTATTAAAGATCGACCCACCCTAGAAAAGT